GTAGATTTGAAGGGAATGGACTTGGTTTAAAAAAATTCTTTTTTAAAATGGCTGTAGATTAAGGTGCTCATTATCATTTTTAATTGAATGTAATGTTTCTTTCTAGGAAAAGATTAATAGAATCTTTAGCTAATTGACTAGCTGGCACAATGTACTCTTTACAATCAGCAGTATGATTATCACAAAGTGCATACTGGAAAAGAAAACAAAAAACTTTGATGCTTACTAGGATGCTATTTCAGTACCACTGTAATTAAAGGACTATTCCATCCTCCCACCCCCGCCATTTTCAAGCTTTTATAATGTTAGATTTTCATCAGCTCATTCTGAGTCAAATAATGGAATGACTGCAGTAAAGGCACATTATTCAGACTGTAATGCAAGGGTGTCAAATTGCCGGCCTGCGGGCTGGTTTCATCATACCAAAGCCGTGCCCACCCCATTGCTGGCAATGCAAAAAACATATTTCTGTAAAAACATCTATAAATATTACTGATTATATGATCCAGATATAATATGCTTCTTCAAATCTAAACCTTATTGTGAATTTCCCTGTTTTCTATAACCCACGTTTCATCAAAATGGGAGAAAAAGATGAATGAGTCAGGAAAAAAAGAGGCAAGCAATATGGGTGAAAGGGAGTAGGCCATTGTGAATCAAGCAATCCTCGACCTAGAATAGGATGTGAACAGAAATCAGAATCCATATAATCAATGTCAATAAAACAATAATAGCTTTGTTAATGGTAAACAGTTGCCCTGGGAAGCTCATATGCAGGAAAGACAATGAGATAGTATAGGAAATATGTGTGATTTTAGGTTTATTCTTGGCAAAACTGAAGAAGAATGTTTTTCAATTGTTTCAAAAGAAAAAAAAGACATAAGTGAAATAATAAAGTTTGATCAGGAAATTGATATTTTTGTGGGGACATTCACCTTGTGGACTTTGCAATGTCTGTCATACATTGTCAAAGGCAGATCCCAATCTGAAATCAGTGCCAACCCTTGTGGCTGCTTAACAGCTTCTTTTTCAGAAGAAGATAGCAGTTGAGCATTGCCTCTGGAGTTTCAGAGTGTGTTGATTCTCATTGGCAGGTACTAAATCTTTGTCACACTACTCAGCTTCTGAATTTTCTCTATTTTCCATGGTGCCTGTCTTCCCCAATCACTTGGAGGAACTTTGCTGCATTGTCTCTATGGTGGCAATTGGGCTTCACTATTTCTCCCACACAAAGCAAACACCAAAAAAGAAATTTGTAAGCAGGGCTTTGATTCATTCTCCCTCCCTCCCTCCCTCCCCCTCCTTCTCTCCTCTCCAATTAGTCAGATGGGAAGAACCCAGGCTAGCTTCATGTGACACAGTGATGTGTAATAGACTATTGTCAAGAATTTGAAGGTTAGGTTCAGTATACTCCTCCCCCCCCCCCGACTTCTTGGGAATTGTCAGTTGTTGAATAAAAGTTTCTATGAAGAGAAATGTTTAATTTGCTTTCAGTTATATACAGATAAGTAGAGCTATTGCCCTGGAGTACCTTTTTGGAGAACTTTAACAGGGATACTAGAATTACCCCGTTTATTCAATGATAGTGCAATCACCCTGCCCATAGAGATGCACATTGACAATCAAAGAGTATTTTCAGCTCCAGTAAATCTCTAAGCTTGTCCTAAGAATGTAAAGTTCTAAACAAGCTTCAAGTGGAAACTACCCATCTTTATTCACTCAGAAAGCTTCATGCAACCCAAGAAGTTTTTCAAATGGCCCCAGTCTCCCATTTGGATGAAATGTTGGTTAGAGGTGCTACAAAAACTATTGCTCAATGATCAGTTCCTTCTTATTATTGAGGTGGAATATGATACACCCATAGCTCATGACCCTGATATTTCTGCCTTTGGGGCACCATGTTTTCCACATGGAGCTTGCTATCTGCTATTTTCCCATTATTTTTATTTTCCTTTGTATTTTATATCTTGACAACTAATACAAATTTGATGACCCCCCCCCAAATAAAATGCTTAGTATAATCTTCAATAAACTTTTTTCTTAGGAAGATTGCCTTATGGTTTATACACATAAATTTAGAGAACATCTTTAAGATAGAATAAACTGAATAAATGTGAGGTATTATTATCAGCTTGGAACACCAAAATAATAATCCCAAAAACAGAAAACCAGGTTCTTGGAGAGCAGTAAAGCAGCTTCACAGTTAGACTCTGAGACCACCACATCAATGAGCCAGGCATATTTATGAAAGTGGATAGGGACAAAATCAATGGAACAATGAACAGAACTTATTAAAGCCTTAAGCACTTTTCTGGATATTAAAATATGTTAGAATTCTGAAATCATAAACCAGCATAAAGCACTATCCTACCAACAGCAAATCTTTCATTTTTTCCAGTTTCCCCCACCCCTAGCTTGATTAGCATTCATTATAATTGCAGTGTGAATTAAACTTTATTCCATTTTACAATGGAAGAAACAAAACAGACTGTTTAAGGAAATCTGTGAGTCAGTAACATACAAATTTCCCCAAACTTAAGTTAATAGCTAAGTGATTTATTTATTTATCTATTTGCCTAGCTATGGATAATATTACAATCCGACAAGCAACAGGACATGTAACGGGTTCAGAAATGACTTGGCTTTAGCTTCTTTTGGATGGCAGGATTGTGATATTTTATAGTATTCTAATTTATGCATAAATATACAGGTTTAATATCAGCCTTAAATGTCTGGGGAGTCACAGAATCTGTCTGAGAATCTGTTGATTAGGGTGTTATGGAAAATTATTTCTTAAAATGCTCTCCAGAAGGCAACTAGCTCCACAGAACCCTTTCACAGTGGTTAAACCTCATCTCTCTCCCTCCCTCCTTCCTTCTTCTCTTCCTGGCTTGCTTCTTCTTTAAAAACCCAGATTACATCAACTAAAATGGGAGAAAAAAAATTATCATTTGCTGTGACCTTTAGGCATTCCTTAGGTATGCACCGAATCCCTTTAGCCAGCAATCATCCTACCAAAAGGCCGGCAAGCTTGATTAAAGGTAAGCAGTTCTTCTGATTTTATTCACTATTTCCTGGTCAGACCCTCACAGATTGTATCTTACAGGAAAGATGAAGATAATGGATAATATTTTATAAGAATGGACTTTATTTATGCACAATTTTGTAAGTTATTAAATAATTAAATGAATATGTGATTTATGTAGGTAGTTTATATTAATATAGCTAGCTAATTCTTTAGATTTTTCTGGGTTTTTTCTACGTTTGTATTATAATTTCATAATTTATTTGCTGGATTGATTGCTCTTTATCATTTAATTTGTTTTTGTATACTGTTTTTATATATAGCATTTCCCTTTTAAAAACTGTTATAAAATATTCAAAACACACACATGCTGCAACACATTAAGCAGTGCTAATGTTGCAATAGTTGGATTTATTTGTTTAGCTTTTTGCTAGGAACCATTTACCGTATATGCCGGCGTACAAGGTGATCCGGCGTATAAGACGACCCCTGTCTTTGTCGCCGAGCCGCATTCCTAGAACGTCGTCTTATATGCCGGAAACTACCAGTATTTCCGGCGTATAAGACGACTCGGCGTATAAGACGACCCCCGTCTTTGGCGCTGATTTTAGCGCTTGTGGAAGTTGCCTTATACGCTGGCATATACGGTATATGGATCTTCTAGAGTAATTTTAGGAACATGGAAAGCTATCATATCTTAAATCAGATTATTGCTCACTTAATCCTAGCATTGTTTATTTTAGATTATCTAAAATTTCACAGTGAGAATCTTGAGGCAATTAACTCTTGATGCTTTATTTCTAGACCAAACATATTATCTGCATACAATGTGATCTATTTGCTGGGCTTCTTCTTCTACGTAATCTCTTACCTGTTTGTTAACAAGAATGTTGTCATTAAATATCATCATTAAACCAAGCACAAGAAGATCAGGCCTTCTATCATTAAAAAACCCCCAAAACAAACAAACTTGATCTTAGTCTGCTAGAGGGCTAGTAAATGTCCACAAAGAACTTATGTAAGGTTGAGGGCTGAATTGTAAGCAATAGCTATGAATAGAGACAATAAGTGTTGTACTATCTGAGATGACCACCAGATGGCAACTAATGATTCAAAAAACTAATTCTTTGCAGGCATCTAGTGGTTATCCATTCTCTCCCTCCCATTGGTTGTGCACACCCAAGGCAGTGACAGATTGGATCAAATTACTCTTAGGCAGGGAATACAAGCAATCAGCTGCCCAACACATTTCCTATCTAATCTGGCTGGTTATCAAGCTTTGGTGAGGAGGATTGGCAATGGCAGTAGTGATGGTATGGAGGAGGAGGTAGGAGGCATGATAAATTGATAGAGTTGGCAACTATGGTGAACAAGAAAAAAAGGAAGCAGTTGACAGAGATAGCAATGACAAGGAAACAGTGTCAGGGAGGAGAATGACAGCAGGGCAAACAAGCACAATTATTATTTCATTTAAAAGAGTATCGACATAGCAGTCCTGGATTAATACTAATCCTGATTTGTGATAGAATGGAAACTCTTTGCTCCAGTGCAAAAACCGTTTGGAAGAGCCAGCCCAAATAAGGAGTAAGTCAGGGGACAAAAGGTTAACCCTCCTGTCTTTCCCAAATCCATTGCCAGAGTTTTCCTCTAGAATGGAGATGCTGTCTTTTTTAAAAAAATTGTTGTTGCTAATTATGCAAGCTGTATTTCTTCTAGTGGGATCTACAGCAGAATCAACTGCAAGGATTTCAATAGAAGCCCCCAAAAATTTGCATATCATTCCAAGTATCTTTTGCACAGTTGTGTATCTAGATAGGCTTTTACCCCTAAAGTAAAATATGCTTTGAATTGGAAAATCCTACTCAGGTCAAACATTCCTCTGAATGTCGAGAGAAGTTAAAAAAGAAACTTGTATAGATTATTGGCATTTCACTGTGAATTTCCACACATTTTTAGTAACACCTCATTCATTTCTAGAAGTCAAATGTTTCGGGACATCTTTAGAACATTCGTGCTGTGAATATATTAGCCACTGATCTTCCTTCCTTGATTTTCTATATATTGCCATGACGGCTTCACCTCAGGTAAATATCCATCAGAGAAAATTTCTATTTCTTATGCTGTCTCAGTGTTACGCTGATGTTTAGTACCTAAGCCATTTACTGAATGTTAAAAGAGAATTGATATTTGGAGCCAGGCCTCATTTCTCCTTCCCTGAACAGCAGTCCATATAGCCAAAAGAGTAGATATGTGCCATTTACTGTACGCGTGGCTTTGAGGAAATCCATTTCTGATACACTGATCCAAACTTTTTAAAAGTTCACGCAGCAAGAGATACTTCTCATCCAAAATAAATGACATTATAAAGTCTTTTAATTTAATTTGGTATTTCTGGGTTTTCTACTGCAGATGGTTATTTTGCTGAAAAGAAGACACTGCCATTATATTATAAATCCCACTGATGGGACTGTGATCCTGAACCCATACTATTCCATTATCTGTAGTTTCAAAATGAAGGGAAGACTTTATTTTTCAAATATTTCAAAATTCAAACTTCCATATTTTTTCCTCATATTTTTTCTGCCCTTTTATTTCAAAAGGTTTATCTGATGAATTTGATACATGAAGGAAACATGTGGCTTGTGGTTTGCTTGCCTAGACATTAATTTCCACCACAGTGCTTAATGAATAATTATAATGTTATTTCTGTCACATACCTTTTTAAAAATGAAAACCTTACAATCGATATGGGAAGAAGAGTGAAATAACAAATCCATATAATGAAGAATATAATGAACAGAAAATATTCAGATTTTTTTTCAGTGAACTACAAGTGATGGTAATAATAAATACAAATTTTAGTGCTATATCTTGAAATCAAAATGGCATAGATATATTATATCATCTATGGGATTCTGAAATACGGCCAAAGATTTTCTAATGATTGCTAGTTCAATTATCCAACTGTTCAGTTGGAGGCCAGCCCACTAACCCATTTTAGAGGAGCTGAAGTCACAAATATCCTGGGCGGAAATGGCTTGCTTTATTGAAAGGTTCAGTTACTTGCTACTTTAATGTAACTCAACTGAAAGTAATGATGGAGTGGCCCAAAGGGGTCTTTTAATTTCTTTTCTTAGTGCCTCTCCCAATGAACAGCAGTAGTGCCACAAATTCACTTTCCTGCTTCCACACAGCTGGCTATCTTTAAATGTTCTCCCTTAGGGGAACTCAGCCTCGTGAGGCAGACACCCTATAATCATGTCCCAATATGCTACTCTAAAGATCGCAGAAGGAAGGCAAAAGTGTAAGTGGCTTGGCCAGATGACATGCCACTCCAGTTGTACAGTGCCAAGTGACAGCCACATCAAGTAGTAAGAGTAAAAGAAGCTGGAGAAGTACCAGGGCCTGAAGAAGGAACTGGAGAGGATGTGGAAAATTAAGGCCAAAGTGATCTCAGTAGTGGAAGAAACACTTGAGGCTGTGACACCTAAGCTGGGACAGTAGCTCCAACAGTTTCCAAGAAAAACAGCAGAGTTCCCTATCCAGAATGTAGCATGCTAGGAATAGCTAAGATGCTGTGCAAAACCTATGAAGTCCCAGTCCTCTGGTAAAGGACCCAAGATTGAGGAAGACAGATACCACCCATAGGGATAACACTATATATAGGTTACTCTTATTAATGCTTTTAAATCTTCTTTTGAAAGGTTCACTTTTGCATAGACATGAACCTCTAAATGTTCCTATTATTTTTTTTCAAGCAAAATGTGGCGTTCTCTGGGATGGCTACATTTTGTATTATTTTGTACTACTTTTGCTCAAAATTATTCTATCAAAAACCTATTGAAAAAATTTTCATGGGATGTTGAACTTTAGTTTGCATAGGTCACAACATCCTGTGGAAATGTTGATTTAGTGACATTCAAAGGGGAAATAAACAGCTTTGCTCTGAGCAGAATAAATATTTCACAGAATGTTATTGAGTCTGAGTGTAAAAAATGCAAAACAATTACAGATGGTGGATTCAGATCAGTGGTTAAGTGGAGCAATTACTGAAGGAGCTTTTTGAGACTAAGTCACTGTATGATGAGAAAGCAACACATGATCCAATAATAATAATAATCCCCAATGAGACACTACTTTGACAACTTGTGGGGCATGTGTACTCTGAGGAAGATGAGAGTTATGCCAGTGGTTCAAACATACCGGACACATGTCTTCAGAGCTACCAGATGAAGAGTGACTCTCCAATAAACAATATGGTGAGATGTAATTTACAGAAGCCCATACTGGATTAGTCATTGCCTGAGTCAACAAAGACCTCACTAGAGGATAGAATTCCTCATCATCTGGTGATTAATGGGCTTACAGGACTTAGGATGGTTGCTTGAGCATCCAGGGATAGCAGCTGCAGGACTACTGGAAGTAAAGGTGTTTACCAATTGCAAACTGAAAACAAAGAAATAATGATCTGTTATTACAAATCAAGTGCAACAAAAAAAGAATATCTGAAAAGAGTGCAGCAGTTCTGGGAAGAACAACATCCAGAATGAGAAGCAATAGAACAGAGGCTAGCAGATCAACATCAATTTACAATACAAAATAAAATATTCATGGAAACAGAATTGGAAGAAATCAAACACTTACCAGAAGTAGCTCAGACTCTAGAGGCAAACCAGGGGGAGTCAGCAGTAGTGGAGGAGCAGGGCTATTGAATCATTTTCATTCCCAAACCAGGCACCCCTTTTTCTTTCTTATCTCAGAAAGAACAAAGCCATTTAACTAAAAAAGAATAATAGAAACGAAAAATAATTGAGCATCTAGAAGAAAACAAGAACAACAGAATAAATGTTGCTTGCATTGAAGCATGTGACAACCCCCCCTAACAGAATTATTAAAAGATGCCAGTACTGTAATAGCAAATATAAGCACCATCTCACTGCAAGAAATAAACCAACTAATGTACAGCATGTGGTTATAACTGAATAACTGAGATACTAAATCAACAAAGAAGAAAAATAAAGCCAAACAATGCACCACCAAAATGGAAGATTAGGTAGGGAAATAAGATCTGCATGGTAAAATCAGATCCAAGCAAGCTAGAACAGATGAAAGAAAAGAAATTGAAGAACAAGGAGAGCAAAGAATACCTAATCAAGAAATGTCACCTAGAAATAAGGAAGATTAAGAAAGCACCGGAAGCACTAAAGCAACAAATAACAGTTATAGCCAAGAAGATTAGGAGATATGAACCTCAAATTGCATACTATGGGTGGAATCTCCAATTTCAGTTGAATCAGTTTTTCCACCAATCAATTTTTCTACCAATCTACCAATTGTGGAGACAGTTCAGTGAACTAATGAACCAATACTTGACAAACAAAAAACAGTGCGGTTCTGGGTGCAGATTTGGGACAATCAAAAGAAATACAACAAGAATCTAATTTGGTTAAAGAAAGTGAATAAGAATGAAAAAAGCTGAAATGAAATAATAGCAGAAATGGTGGAGAAAAGGTCAAGGAAGATAAAAATTTGGTCAGCATCAGGTGAAGATGAATTGCATAATTTTTGGTTGAAACATTTGATTGGTCTACACCCACTCATTGCCAAACAGTTTAACAATATAGGACATGGGTGTCAAACTCGTGATGTCATGTGATGTGTCGTGATGTATCATGACTTTTTCCCCATTGCCAGCAATGGGGTGGGCACGGGTTTGGTATGACGCATCTGGCCCATGGGCCGGCAATTTGAAACCCCTGATATAGGGCAAGACTAATTGAAATTAGTTGAAATTGAAGATTAGTTAACACCTGGGAAAATCTACCTGATAATGAAAGATCCAGCGAAAGAGTTAGCACCGGGCAACTAGAGGCCAATTACTGGATAACCAACATCTTTGAAATGGCTAACTGAAGTCAAGAAGAAGGTTAGAAGTGAATGCATCTTGAGAGTAAAATAGATCTTAAAGTCCAAATACAATGGAGGCAATGCCATCAAGTCAATGAATACCTTGGCAATTCCAATCAATAACTACATAGCTGGATAGTGGACTGGACTAAAGCAGAACTAGAAGTCCAGGACAGGAAGACCAGAAAAATAATGACAATGCATCATACTCTTGGTCTACAAAGCAATGTTGACAGATTCTACTTACCAAGGAAAATAGGTTGATGTGACACTGACAAAATCACTTGCAATAGGCAGCTTTATTTGGAACAACTTACTTTCTGTGATGATACATTTAATGCCATCAAACAACATAGGTGGATAGAAGTGCTCATGGTTGAAATCCCTATAAGCTCATAAAGAAATCGGTTCTCTTTTTATTTTGCCTAATAGACAACTAATAGTAGTTTCCAAGGTAGCTGTTTAGCAGTAAGAAATGAAAGATTAACTTGAGAAAAGAAATGGTGTGTGATGGAACCCGTAACCAATGTTTTGATACACCTTGCTAATCTTAAAAATCTGGGTTATTTAATGATGAACTCAAAGGGTTTTGCAAATGGTCTGTGAAAAGCTTTTGAAAGAATGTTTAGCAACACTTGTTATTGAGAATAGCACCTGTATTCAAAACATTAAAGCACCTGCATTTGTTCTAAAGTTTGCACATGTACTTTTGCTAGTCTTGTGTGTGTGTATATCTGTACACAATCACTTTTGATTGGCTGTAGTTTCAGTGAAAGTGTTGTCTATGGATAAACATGAATGTATAGATAACCAGGGACAGCTTTCATAATAGCTAAACAAGCCTTGTGAAGGTCATGAGTGCTTGAAACATTCAAAAAGAGATGCCTCAAAAGTCCTGAGGTCTATTGTCAATAACTCTTTTGAATGCTTTGCACAGCCCTCTTTGCAACCTGTTCAGCTGAACATGATTCAAAACTACACATTGGCCAAATTTTCTGAACGTTAAAAATCTTCTGCCAAACAGCTTTATAATTTTTGGATAAATTTTGTCTGCCATACATAAATTATTATTTTTCTATATGAAATTTTGTAAACATTTTTTTTGTAATAAAGTATTTTTTGTGGGCTAGGCAGGATTTCAGATTAGATGTGCTTCTACCATCCAAAATGAAATGCG